AGTACAATTATAAGATGGCTTTTAGAATATCATTTAGAATCTGGGTTGTCGTCCAGGAGAAATTTAATTATTTTTAACGCATCTTCATCGCGCTCTGTTCATATGTTCTAATTTTATAGGTGCGGTTTGTTTAATTAAATTCATCAGTATAAGCAAAGCGGCCATCATTCGCATATATCTCTCAGCACGTTCGATGCTTGAAACTTTAAATGGAAGATTATTATCACGATGACAGTCTAGTCCTTGATGATTTCCGTCCGCGGAGTCATCATCTGTTCGTCATTAGATGGTTCCAACTGCACAGACTACTATATTAGAACGCCGACATTACACCTTTAGTCAGAACCTTTTCCATACACCATAACTAATAAGAAACTAATACGAATAAATTGTCATTGGTATTCCATCTTATTGGCATTTAATTGCTCATTTAGAAAAAGTGGACGCTATTTCAGGAATCCTAATCGCTGCCCATTTAAAATGTAACTAGTTGTGATACAAGCAAAAGGAATTTTCTATAAATAAACTGACAAATACGCAAATGCTTAAAATCATTCCGAATACGGCGTAGTCTACTTTTCTTTATAAGTAAAACCACACAGCCGTATTTTGAAAGCGATCATTCTTGCATGTATGCAATAGGCTCACTAACTAAGCCCATGTTAATACTAGTTTTCTACGAGTTACCCGGTCTAAGCATCTGAAAAACCCTTATCGAGACATGTAGCCACATGCAAAGCATTTAAGATTTTACAAAATTCGTAAAAGAAGTGTTACCACAGCACTAGGACAACTATTGGTAAGGAATTTTACGATCCCTTACAGATCTACTGCATTCAAATAAATAATTTAATAATTCGACAAATAATCAAGAACAAAATGAGCAAAAGCAAGAAAAAAATTAACAAGAAGAAAGTGCTTACTTCACTGCTTTTCATATTATTCCAGGTTTGTAATTATTCTTCATAGTGCATAAATGTTATTGGCATAATCGAACAACTCTATCTTTCATTACCATAGATGACATAGTACGAATTTATCAAGATGAAATTGGATTCATTCGTTTTTGTATGTGAAATGTTGCCAAACGAGCAGACGGTTCACCTGATGGTAAGTGAATACCGCCGCCGCACATCTGCTACACCCGAGGGTTACAGATGCGTTGACAAACTTTGGAAAATTGGGCTCCGGCTAACTCACTCACCAGACGAAACGCGAAATTATTTGTCATACTCCCACTTTACGTTGGTCTTCTGTGAGGTCGTGGTACTTACCCGGACGGGTCTGCCCATTCGTGCAACAGCCGAGGCTGCTGCGTGGTTCTACCACCGTAAAACTCGTTAGCAATATATTCTTTATTATATATCATATATCTCTATTATATACTATATATACAGCGTGTCGTTACCAACGCGGCAATAACGCTGTATATTCGTCTATATCATAGCAACCTCGTGTGTGATTATGCCCGACGGTTCTTTACCCAAAATGACTAACGGCTTGGATGTTCTATGCGGTTAGAATAAAATATCTAATGGGAGTACCGGTAAAAATCTTTCATTAATATTTATAAGGCAATAATAATGAACGGATGCTACGCATTTGGATATTTAGCATTCAACACCGTTGTTGTTTAGCGTTTGTAACGTTATATAACCATTTTCGGTACTTAATAAACTGTTCGATTTTTTATATTGTTCTTCATTATAATGAATTACTCTTTTTGTTGTGTTTCTTAAACGATGTTATCTTTTTAACCACTACCTTACGTAGTCTATCTACTTTTTCCTCGGTTTTCGTTCTCTTCTTATAGTAATTAATTAGCTGGCTCTTATCTAATATATGTCCAAAATAACCAACTGTCATGAAACATTAAATTCGTCATTTTTCTCTTTACAAAAATTTGGCTTATGTTAATGATCTTACAAGTTATCTTAAACGCGTGTAAAATCTTGATAAATACATCACACACAAAAGAACACCAAGCATTAAACCAGGTGGACCCCAAAACGTGTGGTTTCCGCTACCATAACTGCAAGATCAATCTTGCAACCAAGATTGTATCAAAATTTGCACACACGAGCAAAACGTGATAGCGGCTGCATGACTACAGTCCAGATTGCCAAAATTTTGTCAGCGTTCAAATATGCTTTGGCATTGCGTAGCTTATTTCGCTCGTTTTTGAAGTTAGAGATATTTCAAGATCTTATAACTGTCGTACAATATGGAACATCACAAATAATATATAAATGTGCTCTTACTAGATTTAAATTGTTATTTGTTTAAAAAAAAAGTAACATTGGATGTTAAAATTTGCAGAAAAAAGGACGAAAAGCTTTTCGCCATTTCGGGAATCGACTTCTGAATTGGCGCCCAGACACTTTAACCACTAAGGTAACGGCTGATTGACACAACAACGAAAATCTCACGTCTTTTATCTACATTGTTGTTTCGTATTTTCAGCAATGCTTGGTGCATCTATTGTATCTACATTTTATTATATTTCTTACAGCCTATATTTATATTACAATGCTATTTAAACAAGGTTTCACAATTGCTATATATGATATTAATTTTTTTTATAGTGCTGGTCTTACTTAAGATGAAACATTAAAAGATTATAAAGAGATTGTGAATCAATTTCTGTACACTGCATTGCTTTGAAGGTATTAAATTGTTCTTCTCGCCACTATAGGCTTTTGTAACTATTGACATTTAGAGGAAGAGTTAAAAGGTATTCAAACATTGCCAGTGATTAATGTAAAAGATCTCTACGAAGCGATATTCAATGCAATAGTCGGCAGTGACTAAGAAACTATTGATTTATGCATACTGCTGTGTGTGCCAGCTCTACCCATAATACTCCATGGGTGTTTGCATATATGATACATAAATTATATCAATAATAAATAAATGAAAGGCTCAAAAAATAAAATAATGTGATCGAAAATAAAAGACAGAGATAAATAACAACCATAGATAACAACTATACATGGAATTTATTTAATTATGGAATTTAAAATTGACATAGGCATAATACATATAATAGGTATGACTCATAACTTTTCGAAATAAAAGTCAAAGTAACATTTTTTTTTAAAAGAGAACATTTTCACTTTTTTTAATATTTATGAAAATCAAAATTCACCACCGGCCCATTGGCCCTATCTGATATCACCATTAAAACATACAAATATTGTGGCACTTCATCCTTAATCAATATCTTGGATGCTCAACTGAGTCGCATAGGAATAGAAGTCGGTGCCTGTCGTTTTGAGATTTATTTTTTATATCTTCATCCTAATATATCAACCTCTCACTCCATAAAAAGTTAAAGAGAACAAACGCCTACGCGAAAATAAATTAATAAAATTAAGAAATGTAACTTAAAAAGTCCATAATTATTATCCCTGAAACAAGGAACTCATAAATGATGTGAAAATGAAACCAATATTTACCTTAGGCTTATTTATTACTTATACTAAAAATGTTAATCTAATTTAATCAAAACAAGAATATTTTTAAATAGTACTAAAATGGACTGTATAAATATGGCCCGTCCAACAACAATGAAATCAGAGATAAAACAAATATAACAACAGGTATCAAAATATATGAAGAAGTTTAGGGTCATGAGTTGACCCGAAATTATGATAATTTTAACAAGTACAAAAAGCTTTCGAGTGTTTATCTATGTAGAGTAGTATATGAACTAAACCACGTTTCAATAGGCTTATTAAATTCTCGCTCAAATTAGACGATGACATAAAGCATCTGTAAAACGGTTTGTGCACACGAATCCTCCTATCCTAGTCTATCACTTATAACAGAATTGTACAGGATGTTCTATTGTTGACGGTCAAATTAAACATTATTATATAGACTATCATATATATATATATATATATATATATATATATATATATATATATGAATATTACATATATTATAGATTATTATTTTATACATATTATATAAACGATCATAATTTTTCCAACTCAAGGCTTGATTAATAAACAAGTAAAGTATACAAAGACTACAAAGAAAAGTATACAAAGTAGTCTTTGTATACTTTTCTTTTGGGAAACAATTTTCTACAGAGATTACATTTTATCCAACGATATTGCAAAAAAAATCCGTTCAAAATTTAATGTTTTATAATTTAATTGATCGTTACTTATCAATAAAAAAGCGATACTTAACATTAAATAGTCTACTAATTCAGTAAGACTAAACTTAAAAATAAAACTACCGAGTTCTGCATTGAACACAGTTAAAAATCTCCTTGCATTAAAATTTGGTCAACATTAATAACAACGATTATTACGTATAAAGGTTTAAATAAAACCATTATAAGATCACAAAGTGCCATAAAATATACTACATATTTATAGGTGTTATTTCAGTTATAACAAATACTTAAAAATTCAGTTTGAACCAATTTAGATTCGCTGTTACGTATATCATAAATTATGATATACGGTTCCGCCGGAAGTAAATTTTAATAGCGTAACACAGTCTATAAGTACAATAAGCCAATTAAATGAATATACAAAAGTGCGTTAACAATTTAAATTGCAACATCGCGTGTTCTAGGCACAGTTCGATCGGCACACAGAGTGAAACGTAACTTAAAAGTAACATTTATCATTTACTAATAGGCGAACTAACTCACTATCACAAGGTTATCACCAGTGACTGTCTACTTCGTATCACAAATGTTTAAAAACTAGCGTTATAATGACGACGATTGCACGCATCACGCTGGAGACGGTTGACCGGGACAATAAATCACTATCACAGTATTGACCTCAATCTGTTCTGACTTTGATATGGCAACAATGTATGGTCTTCGGTGGAGAATACCTACTAGACACCGCACGTATGGTTTACTTGACTTAGCTTTTGATGTGATTCTTTAGTCCAAATCAGCCCATCCTCATGATGTTTCGGCGGCGGAGCAGACGCTCCATTGCGTAGAACACGCGACTCGACCCTCAGTAGGGGCACACTATCCCCCCTGCGCCCGGGAACGCCACTGCATCTGGATAATGCACCCTGCAGATCTCCTTGTAAGTCTTCCCCTGCCTCTGCGGTCGCTCCGCACGCTTGTACCCATTGTACCCGTAACCGCTGTAACCGTACGTCGGCCCGTAGTTCTCATAGCCGCCGTAGCCGTAAGAGCGGCGCCCGTTTCCATTAATCGCGTCGTATATCGCGTCGAAGAAGGGGGCGCAGTCGGCGCAAGCGGCGAAGAGCAGGAGCCCGACGAGCAGAGGAATCCCCATGGCACGCATCGCGGAAGGGTGTCAAGTGGCAATTGTCTCAATTCAGTTGGCGGTCAGCGCGGCCTCGTGCTGCGGAAGCTAACGGCGTTGGAGTTTAATCGCGAATGGTGCCGGCTGCTGGTGACGGCGGTTTATATACCGGCCTCGGCTCATCCGACGCCCGATAAACACGGGCCGCGCCGCCGGGTTCACGGTCCGTACCCTGGAGCCGCATCGAGGCGGCCGCGAACAATCTGAAGGGACCGATTTTGCAAATCGTTTCGCAAACAGCAAACAGGAAGGGGAGGCACCAGCGATAAAGACCCTTTCGGTGGCCCGAAACTCACCGAGCATTGGGCTCAATTATTTGTTACAATAACAAATAACTAAGCAATAACAACTTTCTACTCGCTACAATTTAGGTTAATGCCTAAATTATCTGACTCATTCAATAACAAATACTATTTCATGTTAAAGGTACGTTCCATACAACATTAGCATTATAATAAAGTGCTCATTTCGTAAAATAACGTCATGATCAGTACGGAAAAAAATCATTTATTTGTTGAATACCTTCACATCATTCTCCTCAAAATGTGAATATTTTGCGTACAATTACACGAGAATGCAATGTTAAGGACTGTCAAGTTCAACCCACAGTCGCGACGTGCGTTGACCGATCTTTGACCATGAATTGTCACATTGGCGAAGAGAGTCTGAGGCGGCGTCACATGTACCTATAATCGCTAAAATTTGTACAGGTACGTCTTCCCTTTTCACACATCAATGGGCTTCGCTTAAATGTTCAATTAAGAAATAGAACATTAATTTAATGATCTGTCCATACTCGGATTTAAAGTAAAATTGTCAAAAAAATAATAATAAGATATTGTGATAATAAGCCACAAGGGCCACGCAGCTGGAAAATAAGAATAATTTCAAGTTACAGGAACACCCGACAAAAACACATTAATGTTATCGACTAGCATTTCATCTGCCTATTGCCAGTTTATCAAGTTTACGTAACAAAATTGCGAAATTGGTCATAACTTCCGTATCTTTGTTAAGTTGGCCGAAGTTATTTATAGCCGAAACTAATATTTATAGCACTTAGCATTACTCCCTTTGACAAAAGACTATTGGTTATAGCAATTTCTCTCTATCACATTTTTAAAAGTACACTATTGGTATGGCAGACCTGCTATCCCAAGATCACGGGAACAAACCTACGTTAGATATGCCAAGAAGTCATCCGTTTTTCGTATTGCGTGTTGTAAGTATAAGATTCCACACACACGACCGTACAATACCATCCACACGACTTGTTATGTTGTGTGTAAACTCAAAGCTCGTAACAGCGCTAGCGACGCTTTCCTATTTGGACGTACACGTGTACTATTAATTAATAGTTTTTTTTTAACAAGTACTACCATGTACAATACTTCTCGGTCGGTTAAAAAAGTGAATTATGATATCGGAATGACCACGTCCTGCTCGTAAAGGCATCTTCGTAAGAAAGGTCAAGGAGCGGTTTGTGTATGCAATTTGCGTTGATAGCTTTTTTTCTTTATTACATACCTTGGGCGACGTCTTTACTACATTAAAGGCGCTCAGACTTTAAAAAATTTATGATATTATTGATGTTTTTATAAAAGAAAGCAAATCGATTATTACAGATTTCTTATCATATTTTCAATTATGGCAGTTTGAAGTTACTACTTTCCACACTTGAAGACTATAAACTGAACATTCAGAGAACTATAAACATATTTAAAAACTTTACGCTGTAGCAACACTTAATACCGTTTAATTCGCTTGGGACTGTTTGAAGTTTTGCATCCCAAATTTGTGTTTGCTGTCAGGTCAAAATTGTCGCAAGATGTCGAACATCAAAAGAATAGTTGAAATCCGGTTTTATTGGATTGCCTCACCCACTCGTATTGTCTAGTACCGGCGGCAAATAAAATATTCACGCGACAGGACACCCTAGTCTGGAATCACTTTGATGTATCCACGGTATGTTTGGGAAGCGCAAATCAATCGTGCTATTTGTGCGAATTCATGCAATCCTAGTAAGAAACAGAAGAAAGGGGCTTAGAAAACAAACCCTTGACAAGGCGTCGATAAATTTTCTATGTGGAATTTCGCGGAAGAATTTCTTTATGATAGGTTGCTTTTCTACCCTTTGTTTTTGGAATAACGCATTTACGTCAGTAGTAGGAATCCAAAACGCTAGTCTCAATTAAGACATAATTCCCTTGTTTGTGCTACAATATCGTTTAAATTGTGACATGAATAATAAATTTGTCTTATTACTCAAGGTATATGGCAAACGAAACGAAATAAACTCATGTAAACTTGCTTTACATACTACAAATAATTAAATTGACGATCTAACAATTAAGCACATAATACTTGAAGGTGAACTCTATCATTAGTCCGTTAAGGTTTCTTATTTAATACAGAATCAACAACGCAAAAGCGATCCCAATAATTACACGTAAATTGTATAATAAAACTAGTGTAACGAAAATAGATTTATAAGTCAATTATTAATCCAATTAGTATACTGTTTCGCTAGTTCCTTGAACTAACCACGATACTGTTCTATAAATTGTTCGATTTGTTAGACATCCTTATTTAATAATTGCGAAAATGTTATACGTTGTTACACGTATTTTGCCAGGATAACATGACGCGTATCTATTACGCGACATATCATACTAATAATTGTTTCCGACTCATCGTGCGTATATTTGTAACTTTTTTGTGCTTAAACTAATATAGGTAATCATTATAACCACTTTGTGTGTCTGACTAATACAGTAGAGTAAAATTTATTATTCCACTAGCGGACCCAGAACCAGACGTTGCTCTACACACGTCTTAAATGCAACAACAACTTGATTAAAAAACATTTTGTAGTTGACCGAATTGTGACTCTAAACAAACCACTTGAACACACACAAAAAACGGTCCAGCCATTTAGGAGACGTTGCATTAGAGAGAGTTCAGGAGAGGTACATCTGATATATTTATTCTTTAAAAAAGAGCTGTCGGAGCAATCAATATCATCGGAGCCCGGAACACACTCACAGAGATCTTTTTAAAGAAATTAATATACTCACTGCTGCGTCTCAATACATTTATTTTAATATGTTGTATATTCGACATAATTATTAATCTTAATTATTACTTAAAGAATAGTAACATACAAATTAAATACTAGAAATAAGGACAAACTAAGAACGCCAATTTTTCGTCTACAAAAAGTAAATAGGTCGTTCACGGGGCAAAGTGTGCGCATGCATAATAAAATCCCACAGTCAGTCATAGAAATTTAATTTCAGTAAACTTATGGTTAAAGCATATTATTGCAGAATATCTCGATGACGCCAATGTTTCAAGTTGATACTGTTGATACTCACGTAGGCTAAAATAAGACTATTATACCTGTACCATGTTATATTATAAACTGAAGGTTTTACATTCCGCTTCGTGCTCCACACGGAACGGACGTTAATCTGAGCCGGAGGGCCCATGCCAACCGACCCGGAAGCCATTTTGCAACCGTTGTTGCTACTTATATTATTTCTTTTATATCTCGGTGTGCACTGCTTGCCTCATCGTTGTCGTGTTTCGCGGTCTACGGTTAGGGAAGTCTCAAGCAAGAAGAGTGAAGAAAAGTTATAGAAGAAAGAAGAAACATTATAGAAGAAAGAAGAAACTTTGCCCGACTTCCGAGCGGATAGTGTTAGTGTAGTGCTGTGCTCGTAGGCAGGTTCCTGTCCGTAAGTAGAATCTACACACATTTCTCGTCTCAGAGGCGGCATTGTAATTTTTATCTGTGTGCTTGTTGCATTAGGCGACAGCTAGGTACTCACCCTAGCGCACCTAAAGCGCAGGCGATTAAAGGTTAATTTTAGGCACACACCTCCCTGCCGCAAGGTGGGGAGGCCTATTTAGAAAACTACACGCCGGCGGGGCGCAAGCCCCAAAGGCACAAGCGTCGTCATGGGTTCCCTCTTAGAGGAGTTCCTGCGGGAGGAATGCCCCGAAATATGGGCAAAATTCCTCAATTTCGCGAGGGAAGGGCGCCTAGCCGTCGAATTCGCAAGTGACAGTCCGGCTTCACCGGCAGTCGCCTCGCCGCCATCTCCGGTGCCCTCTGCGCCAGCTACTATGTCGCCCTTTGCGACAATTAATACGCCCATCGCGTCGACTTCCGCCGCCGCGAACGAACCCAACGCGCCTTCCGCGCAAACCATCTCGGCCCCCTTCCGCGCTGTCGTTCCCGACTCAAAATCGGACGGCGGCTCAGACATGGAGGTCGAAACGACCCCCGCTAACAACGCGAACGCCGACGGCTTCACCGTCGTCAAATCGCGAAAAAAGGGCAAGAAACGCCCCGCTACCGACAGCGACCCCGAAAGCGAGGCCGCCCCGTCAAACCGTCCCACCGCGACGCCCGCCAAAAAGGCAGCCGCGTCTGCCCAGTCGGAACCGACATTCGCCTCTGAGCGAAAAATCAAGCCACCGCCGCCAATAATTATACAAGATAAGGCAAAGTGGCACCAGGTTTGTTCGTGGTTTGAACGCCACAACATCCGAGACCCCCGGTCAAAAAATACAAATATGGGTATCCGCGTATACCTCGATTCGTCAGACGATTTCCGCCGCGTAACAAAGTACTTGCGCGAAGCTAAGGTAGGTTTCCACACCTACTCACTACCCGAAGAGCGTAAACTTCGGGTCGTAATTAAGGGCGTCCCAAAAGAGTCGGATGTCGATATGGCTAAGGTCGACATCCGCACTCAGGGATACCCGGTCCACGCCGTGCGTCGTCTCAGGCACCCTCGCACCCGTGTCCCTATGGACATGGTCATGGTGGAACTTGACCCTACCCCGGAAGGTAAGGCCATTTTCAACCTTAAGAGGGTCTGTGGGCTCAGTGACTTAGTCATCGAGCCCCCACGTAAATCAGGTGTTGTGGCACAGTGCCACAACTGCCAACATTTTGG